TTTTCAATGAGAACATTTTTCAGAAGGACCTTGATTGTGCAAAGGCCTACAGCTTCATTCACTTAAGTTTCCAAGAGTTTTTTGCTGCTTTATCCTAAATACTGGAGATGGATGGGGAGGAGGACATAATGAAAGATTCAGTGACTCCTAAAAGAGAAGTGAAAACTTTGCTGGACCACTATGGGAAATCCAGAAATTATTTAATGTTAACAAGGAGATTCTTGTTTGGTTTGCTAAATGAAAACAGATTGAAAGACATAGAGGAAAAACTTGGCTGGAAAATATCATCTAAAATTAAGTCAGACTTAGTGATGTGGTTTACATCATCTTTTCCCACAACAAATGGACAAATTGAAGATCTTGAGGCATTTTACTGTTTGTATGAGATCCAGGAAGAGCAATTTGTGAAAAATGTACTGGAACATTTCACTAAATTAGAGATACAGAGGAAAAAAACCTTACTCACATGGATCAAATCGTTGTTTCATTCTGTGTAAAAAATTGCCTGCATTTAGAGTCTCTTCTTCTACGTAGCTGTGAATTTGTATATGAAACCCATGGGCGGGTGGAGGAGGAAGTGGAAGAAGAAAAAGAAGAAGAATTGCCAATCCCACCAAAGCGATTATGTTAGTAAGTATTATCTGAGCTCTGAAATCTGCAACTTTTCTTTTCTTTTTTTCTTTGCTCATAGTATAAAATTATGTACTTTTCTTCAGTAAAGACAGGGGCAAAAAAGGTCTTCACTTTTTATAGGTTCAGACAACACAAAGTTCCTCTCTGAGTGCTAAAAAAAATCCAAGTCTGTGATGTCAGAGGCTGACACCTACTTGTAAAGCTTTATGTAGCCAAGTTACATAAAGAAAGGAAGCCCCATGGCTGAGGACAGGTTATACCTAACAAAACAAAAATACTATGGCTATCCTTGGCATTGGGTATGGGAGAAGAGGTTTTTTTTAATGCTTAAATGTCATGTACTGATGAAAAGGAGGGTGAAATGAGTTACTTATTTTGTTTGTGTTATCTGGTATTGGTGTCACTGGGTTCAGTTTGACTGGATTTCCACAGGAGAGAGAGTTTGAATTTTCTTGCCAGAAAGGGCCATAACTAGAATGGTCTCAGCTAAGACATGACCATTTTCACCCATCCTACCAATAACAACTTCTGTTATCTAAACAGTGTCTGTGGGAAAGAGAAGAGGTAGATCCGATTGGAATGAAGTACAAGGCTTCTGAAAATGAGAGAGACAGCAAATGAAAGAGAAGTAAGAAAAGGATAGACCTGGATGTATGAGACTGAAAACTGGATAGTGTAGTAATTGGCCAAGCTCAAGAGAGCTAAAAAAGACTGTTCGGGAGAAAAGCCAAGGATAGAATCTGAAGGTTTCTCTAAAGGACCTTGTTCAGCTGAAGCCCCACACTGCTGTTAAGGGGAAGCAGGATTTTCCCTGTCTCAGAGAAAGGCATCTCTGTACCTCAGTTGAGGGTTTCCATCAACTGCTGTTGGTCAAAGACCAAACCCAGAGCACAGGTATTGTGTCTCTATTACCCAAGGCCAGTTGTGTGGAGGTAAAACAAATCAAGCCAGACTTGAGACTAAAGACCCTGCTCTGTCTTACCAGCCATGGATACAGCTAGGGAATGAAGAAGCATTGCCCCATCCTAGCTAGAGTAACAGTAGACTTCTCACCTTAATGTCTAGCTGAGGTGCACAGATTTCAGATCACCCCTTTTACCGCTACAATCTGAATAGCGGAGAAAACAGTTCCTAAATAATGTTAAGGTTTTAAAGTCTTGTTTGAGTAATGCATTACATTCTTTCTCCCTAAATTGAATCTGTTGTTGAAATGTGAAATACTCTACTACCTGAATATTGGTTGTTTTGATAATGCCAGGTGTGAAATATAGACCTGCATAGCGTCATGATGTGACCTCCATTTTATAGGTGATAACAGAACTGGAGTTTGCCATGTGGTTTGTTTTGGGCTATATTGAATTAGATGTTCTCTGTGGGAAGTCAGCTTTCTGATAGAACTCTTCAAAAGTTTGAGATTGTGTTTAAGTTGGGTACCCAATAACACAGGAGACATTCACAAAGGGAAGGACCTAGGCATAACAACACTGAATGTTCCTGTGTTTAAGAGTTAGACTTTCAAGAGTCAAATTCACAATATCAAGTTAGGCACCTAAATTGTGGTCTTTATCTTTGTGGGCAAATTAATGTCAACACCCATGGTTAAATGAGTATTGTAAAATCTACTGTCTCCAGAAATGATAAAAAACATTATTGACCAACACTAAAGGAGATAAGCATCGAAGACATTAACACCAGCGTTGGGCTTAGAGGTGCACTTGAACACTCAAGGCACTGTGGTGCTACAAGTTTTAACAGTGAATAGATTCTGTTTAGATCAACCTCTTATTTCATTTTATGTATCTTTTAGAACTAGACAGATTTTTGTTTCAGAGTACTTATAATGGATTGTAGTGTGTGTGTATATATATATGTGTATGATTATACTGTACCAGATAGTATTGAAATGCTTGTAGAAGTAGAATGAAAATTTCTCTGGGGAATATAATCAAATACGTCTATGCTGTTTTTTCAGTGAACAGTGGAAGCATTCATCTATTTACCTGCGCTGTCAAGCACTGAAGGACCCAAACTATAAATTAAAGGAGCTCCAGTAAGAACTTTTTTTCTTTTAAAATCACTGGACTATAGCTTTTTTCCTAGAAATTGTACAGCTGTGTAGTTAAATTTACTGTGGCTCTTTAAAACAGTTACATAAAATAGTCTTACCTCTTAGGGGCATTTGTAGGGGTCTACCTAAATTGTGGGGGGGGACATACCATTGTGGCAAATTGTGGTTGCCCCTAAGCATTACCTCCCCTGCTGGCCCCTCGTGGACATGCGCCAGGATAATTCTCTCAAAAAGCTTACCCAGGATCGAGGCAAGACTAACTGACCTATAGTTCCCTGGGTCCTCCTTCCTCCCTTTTTTGAAAATAGGAAACCCATTGGCCCTTTTTCAGTCCTCTGGCACCACGCCAGAGCACCACGAGTGCTCATAAAGCCGTGCCGGGGTCCCGCAATGACCTCTGCTAATTCCCTCAGCACTCTGGGGTGGAGATCATCAGGACGTGCTGATTTAAATACATCCAGTCCCTCCAGAAGTTCCCTGACTAGATCCTCACTGACCCTAGGTCTGGGTGCGCCTCCCCTGGGGCCTACGGAGGTCCCGGTGTGGGGGTCCCTGCTCAGCAAAACGGAGGCAAAGAAACTGTTAAATAGGTTAGCTTTGTTGTGTGGTGTGACGACTAGATTTCCTAGTGTGTCTTGCAGAGGCCCCACATTACCCAGTACCTTCTTTTTACCCCCTATGTATTAAAAACAGGACTTCTTGTTGTCCTTGATCTGGGTAGCTAGTCCCAGTTCCATCTCTGCCTTGGCCTTCCTGACCGCCCCCCTGCAGCCCCGAGCAACCCAGGTATAGTCCTCCCTGGTGATGGCCCCTCCCTTCCATTGGGTATATACCTCCCTTTTAGCCAGGAGACATTCCCGTATGCTTTTGGTGAGCCATGGGGGCCTTTGCATCCTGTTGCCCCCTTTGATCCGTGTTGGGATTACCTCCCTTTGGGCTTGGAGGATTGTCTCCTTAGGAAACGACCACTCTTCTTGGACCCCTGACTTCCCTCCCCTCTGGGACCTCAGTGCCTCCCCGACTATTCTCCTTACCTCATTGAAGTCTGCCCTCCTGAAGTCCAGAGCTGCTGCCTTGCTGCAGGCATTTGCTACCTTGCACTGGATGGTGAATTCCAGCAGGCGATGATCGCTATCGCCCAGGTGGTTGAGCACCCGCAGACCCCTCACCAGGTCCAACAAGGCGTCTCCCCTGGTGGGGCTGTGCACCTCCTGGGTTAGACGGAGGTCCTGTATCTCAGCTAGGAACCTATGTGAGCGGTCAGACCTGGCTGACTGCACTTCCCAGCAGATGTCTGGAAAGTTCAGGTCACCCATGACGACCACGTCCTTTGACCTAACTACCTCCGTGAGCTGATTTAAGAATTCCCGGTCTAGCTCTTCCCCTTGGTTGGGTGATCTGTAGTAGACCCCCACCATTAAGTCCCTTTCCCCTCGACCCCCTTATATTCTAACCCAGACCACTTCAGTGCGCCCCTCTACTGACTCAGTGCTACTCACTGAGGATGTGTATTTCTCCTTGACGTAGCGCACCACACCCCCACCTTTCCTCCCTGTCCTATCCCTCCTGTACAGCCTATAGCCCTTGATATTCACCACCCAGTCGTGCGTTGGGTCCCACCATGTTTCTGTGAGCCCCATTATGTCTGGGTTGGTGTCAGCTAGCAGGAGGGTAAGTTCCTCCCTGCTTGTTCCCCATACTACGAGCGTTTGTGTAGAGGCATCTGAGGCCTCCTGAAGTTGTGTGCACTGGCCGCCTACTCTCAGTACTGCCCTGGCCCCTGTTGCTTACCTGGGTATTTGTTCTGCTCGTCGTCGGTCTAGGCTGGGCTGTTCTTGTGGGTGACGCTTGGTTTAGTGGTCCAAGGTTTCCTCCACCCTTGTCTTCCCCTTCCCCTGACAAATCTAGTTTAAAGCCCACCGGAGGAGATCCGCCAACCTAGAAGAGAACATGTGCTTACCTTTGGGGGAAAGGTGAAGTCCATCCCACCCGAGCATGTCTCTCATCCTGATGTGCGGGTCGTTGTCTAGGAAGCCGAAGCCCACCTCGAGACACCATTCC